AACGACTTTGGCCTTGTTGTAAATATCTTCCCTTCCTTCATCTGCGCTCCCACTAATCGTTTCCTCAGGTTGTGGCTCGGAAGTCACCCTAAGTTTGGTCGCACGGCCTTCCAAGTTCGCGCACTTTGCGTCCTAGGCTTTTCCTGGATTGGTACGCCAAACTAACTGACTTCAATATCCGTAGTTAATATCGTGGTCTGCAGCTCTCATCGGAGGCATGATCTCGCAAAACGCCAATGGCAAAGTCTGTCACTGGGCGGAGACCTGTGGCTGGTTCAATACGGCCCATGTCTTCTCGTGGCTCCTCATCGTCGTTTGTGAGTGCAGTCCTTGTCGGCCCGTCGAATATCAACTGACTGATTATTTCTCAGTGTTCTCGGCGGCGTATACGACCTATCGCAAGGCCCTTGCTATCCATGGCGCCGAGCTGGTGCCTATCCCAGAACCGCGGCCCACTCCCGCCTGGCGTCTCGCAAGTGTCACGGACAACGAAGGAAGGGTTAAGATTTGAGTATTGTTGATGAACCTTTCTGGTCAAATTTCCTCGCCTCTGTTCAAGTTCCAATTGTAATACTATCTTGACATGGAGTATACGAACTTCTGTTAAGATGGATAACTGCATCGGCTGGCGATAGCTTGCTGTTAAAAAAAGGTGCAGTTCACCTTCATTTCAACCATCTTACTATTGGATTGGGAAAACTGTCGTCAAAAGCTCGGCGATGCCGCTCGTAAGAGGGATGGAGCGAAACCGTTCATAAGAGGTCGGAGCTTTCACATTCCAATCAAGTTAATGGCCACAAAGACGATATCCTACCACAAATATCTTTTGCAAGGAAAATGTTGAAACCAATACAACGAACGACGATAGTTCGATCGTGTATTGCCCTTTCCTTCGAGGAATCCCCGCCTCTCGACGTCTGTTGGGTTCTCTGCCATGTTGAACAAGGTTCAATTGAAGTTCAACATATTTGATCGCAATGCCGCCATCAGCCGACCTCGATCATGTACCAAATTTGATCGCCGAATGCACGTCACCCTTCACCCTGATGCAAGAAAGTGCAAAGAAAACAAGACTGCGTGGACCGTGCAACCGCTGCAAAGCGAAGAAGAGTGAGTTATTCCTCGTAAGCATCTCATGTCCTGACGTTAAATCCAGTCCGATGTGCGCCAAATTTTCGTCCCGCAAAGTACAGTCGTTGTTCATTACTAACGCCCGATACAAGGCAACAGCGCGCAAATGGCGGGCAACCGGTGCACAAATTGCCTCGTTGCAAAAATCCAGTGCAAACACACGACTGATAGTTCAGAGGTGTGTATATTGTGCTGTGGAACGTATGCCATGATTTCCATGAATCAAGGGAGAGGACTCGGACTCAGAGGCGTCGTTTTCCGAATCCATCAAGGCTGGGCAAGAACACGTTGCTGCCGTTCTCTCTACTTCAACCATTTATATTCCTTCAAATGACCCTGAAGTGTCTCATCAACAACTGGTGGAGGTCTGCTTATATGCTCGCAGTCTAGAAGACAAGCTGGCCGGCGTCCAGCTTCAGACATCTCGTACGATCACAGAGTCCGAATCCCCGCTTTCGGCTGACAGCGGAACTCTGCTAAACACACCCGAAGAAAGTGGTGCGGGGGGTAATGGCTGGGAACCCTTCTACGGCCCATCGAGCAGCGTAAAGCTCGTCCATTCAACGATGGAGCACATTGAATGGAGCGTTGCCTATGAAGCGGTCGTCATGCAGCATAACTGCAAGATCGTTAGACCACCCGTGAGCCCACATTCTCCTGGCGTTTCCGCGGTGCTCATCTAGTCTTCGATAGTGGGAGAAGCTAACCTTCAATTTGCCGCCGCAAGTTTTCCCAGAGCCAGATTTATTGAAGAGCCTCGTGGCGATTTATTTCGGGCGAATCAACCCCATTCTGGATATTCTGCATTTCCCCACTTTCCGGCAGTCCCTCGCGGATGACCTCCATCTCCGCGATCACATGTTTGGTGCTATCGTACTAGTGGTGTGCGCTGTGGCGAGCAGATATTCTGACGACGCTCGGGTGTTTCTGGATGACGATTCCGAGCACGGCTGTGGTTGGAAGTGGTTTAGACAAGTAAACACTTGGTCTTTCCACCTTACCGGATCACCCGAACCTTCTCTGCACCTGCTGCAGCTCGTCATTGTGCGTCAAACGTTGTACTCATTCGTTCCAAAATGCTCACTGATCTAGCTGAGCGTCACATATCTCGCGGGCATGGCAACGGTGGAGGAGCAATGGACTCTAACAGGAGTCGGAATTCGGTTAGCACAAAGTGCCGGAGCGCACGATCGAAATGCATATCGGGGCATGGACCCTCTCACCGGCGAATTATACAAGCGAGCGTTCTGGGTCCTCGTTGGTTGGGATGCAATGCTTGGCGCACTCACAGGCAGACCTAGTATGACGCGCCGAGCTGAGTAAGTGCTTTTCGTGTTTGCTTCGTAGTTCCAGCCCTGATATGGAATAGGATCGATCTCGACTTGCCACTGACTTGCGACCAGGAGTACTGGGAGAGCCCAAGCTCAGTGCCCTCAACCCCCAAGCCGTTCATCCACGCATACCTGAACATCTACGTGCAATTAATGTTGATATTTACGCGCATTCAAAGCAATGTGTGTATCCTCGGCTGAGTTTCCGTTTTCTATGCAATTCTTATCGCCTTCTGCTTGACAGTCATCCGTGGAGGGGCATGCATGTTCCGAGGACGTTGTCGCAGAACTGGAGTGGGTCGTATGTTCCTACAGCATGACATCTTTGACGGTCTTTGGCAGTTCGGCGCTCAACAAATGGGTCGATACGATCCCGGAACACCGTATGTCATCAGTTTTCACCCACTTATTGGCGCTTGAACGCGTGGGTGTATTAGTGAAATGGGATCCCCTTCAAGAAAATCAAGTAAGCCGCCATTCGTCTTTTGCTCCTCTTCTAACCCAAGACCACAGGTTTTTCTTGACCAATCCGCTGCGTTGTACGTAGCGGATCTTCCATATTTTAATTTATCTAACACCTCCCAGATATGCGGTCTATTATCATGGTACTTTTCCTCTTGCTGTTCGAAACCGTCCCATCCCCATTCTGATTATACAGCGCAAATACTAATACACCGTCCATTCATTCGGGCTCCGGGAGACGAGGCGGCGTCAAAGGTGACTGCCACATCTCTCTGTGCGACTAGCTACGTTGACCTCACCTCTCGGTAGACACGGTTTCCATCACTCGCTGTTTGCGCCAACGCAGCACGGGCCTGTGGACATGTACTGGACGTCCAGGCTCGGCGGGGGCGCGGACTGGTGCACGTGGCACTTGTTATGGTAACCTGCCGCTTCACGGAAAATGTTTAGCTTTACCTCATGAGTGAATAGGTCGCGCTCTTCGACAGTGCTTTCGTGCTCCTAGTCAACGTTTGGGACATCGCCGGGCGCAACTTTCGAAGTCCCAAGGACCTCGCGCGTGCAACCGCGGATGCTCAAAGGTGTGTTCGCATTCTTCAACTGTACGCACGACGGTAAGTGCCCGAGAGTAAACTATTGGTATTGCCTTATAAAGCACAGATGGCCCATCATGGCCAAGAAATGCGGCGTAATTACAGCAATGCTTGATTTCGCCAAACAATCCTCTGAGGTGTCTCTGAAACGTCAGCGAGCGGGAAGCGAAATCCCAGAGGCTCCTCATCTCCGAGCCCCTCCTCGAGCTCTGACGGACCCATCTCCCCTAACAGACCCTTCGATTTTTACCGATCCCCCGCCTCTCGCCGATGCTTCAATAACGCAACAAATGCGGGAATTAGAAGATTCGCTCACGGCGACGAATCATCTCTTTTCGTTACCGCTTTACACCGAAGAACTGGGCCGCCTTCCTGTCTATGACGCATTTGACTATCAGTTCGCTGCGCAGCCGGACATTGGCGCAATTCATACAGAGCCGGAACCTGACTCGTCGATAAGTATGCTTCCCATTAGCTCACCAATATCTGTCTTGCTGACATGGAGTTCAGGTTCACTTGTACCCGAACTGGAGGGTCTAGACACTTCCGGGCGAAAATATCCTTGGTTACCTCCCACTTCAAGTGACGGGTGCGTCGAATGCCTTTTCTGATACACACTTGGATTTATTCTCCAGCATCTCAGTTTGGACTGGACCATGTACCAAGGAATCTTTTGAAATCTTTCACTTAACGTCGCATAAGGATATAGCGATAGTAGTCCTTCTGTCCTTTGGTACAAACGGCAATATAGCGGTGTACTTCATATTCGCGAGATTCGCATCAAATGAACAAAGACATCCTCGGGCGGATCGCTAATACGCGATGGGAAAGTAATGCAGGAAGTAAGAGAACAGGGGTTAAGTAATGATCGTGAAGGCTGCGGCGGCCAAATCTCACTGAGAGGTAGTAAGCCAGTTGAGCACCGCAGCTTGCATGGCGGCGCACGCATCGAAAGTCCTCGAATCACCACTAGGTGCTTGCTAGGTCCCCCAAGAGCGCTACATGGATATTGCCGACAGTACTACTTAGTCGACGGTTGGAATTTCCTCACTGACGGTAGGACTTGGTGTACTGAAACATAATTGAACATTATCATCCTACTGTTTTCCCAGCAGTCAGCGCATGGAAGAAATTAGGGGTGTCTTCCCAAAGCGGAACTCAACGCCGCGAACCCACTTCTCTTTTTCTTCCGCTCTTCTTCGTTCTCGTCGTTTCCTGCCTCAGCCGACGACCCGTTTTACTTGGAAGTATTCCAGGTACTCAAGGACAGTGGGGGGAAGACACGGAAGCAAAAAATAGACGTTCCCACGCCGATCGCAGCGATAATCAATCGATGGTTGAAAATATTCCAAACGCGGCATTGGGAGGAAAACACGATTCGACCCGGGTTTGAACTGGGGACCACCGGGGTTTAGGTTACGCAAAGGAGTGCACTTCAAGTGATACGCAAAATTGTCCAAACGCAGCAACGGGAAGCAAAACATGATTCGACCCAGGTTCGAACTGAGGACCGCCTGTGCGACAGATTACTGTAAATTTGACAGTTCTGTTAGACAGAAGTGATAACCAACTACACCATCGAACCATGAAACCTGCTCTATGAAGCTGGAATAAACTCGGAATAGTCACCGAAACGTTTTGTAAATCGTCCTTTTTTCTTTTCTTGCGAAGCGACCTTTGAAACAAATATCAATATTCAGACGGCCGAGGTATCCCACTGTCTAAGGGTCTTACCTTTGCCGCAAGGACACCGCAGGAGAATACGGAAGAGCCGTTAGTTTCGGCCAAAGTTGGAGTATTGAACCGTGGGAATTGATGACCTCCCTTCAGACATCCGATGGTGTAACAACCGTGCTGACAAGCCGTCAGTGTTAAGTAGACTGCCAGACCGATCACCAGCGAGTGCTCGAATTCTTTCCGCGCACAACTTTTCCGTTGTGGAAATTTAACCACCCAGTGATGTCGAAGTGCAATGCATTCCAACTCAGGTAAATCGTGGTCAGAGGCTTCAATAAATTCCTGAAGGACAACGAAAGGAGAGTGTGAACATCGAAAACCGATGGAAAAGTCCAAATATCGAAAAATCCCCACACAGGTGGAATCGAAGCATCGAATTAATATGTGATGATGTCCGTGCCAGAAAAGCACTTTCCGTGATTCCATCAAGTCCTTGCCCATAAGACAGTAGACACTTAACTTCACTCAAGATTTAGTGGCTATATCGACATCGAGCCCGTTATCATCTGTCTGAAAGCAGTGATGATCCCGGCAGGGACGACATAATTTTTCTGGATTGACGGCGCAGCCGCTTTGTCAAAGGGGTTTCGCAAATCGTTGATCCTCATTTCTTGCTTACCTTTGTTGACGACGGCGTCGGGAGGCCTGAGACAGTTCAGAAGTAGCTACTCTATTTGAGGACCAGTCAACCAAGAGAAGCCCCAAATAATGCTCCAGTTATTCGGAACCCAATTTAAGCATAAGTGACGCGCTGCCCCACTACGAATAACCATCGCAAAGGTGCCATCAGCTGGCTTTCTTGCTCCCAAAGATGACAGTCGGGGAGGCTTTGGAATCCTGGCGTCAGCGCTGTGAGGTTATTCAGCGACTCAGTTATGGGTTGAACAAATTAGGTCACTCAATTACCTTCGGTTCGCTTCCACAGGGGTCGTAGCCTGCCATCAAGAAGTCGAGTCTGACGTTTCTACTTGGTTCGAACACTGCTAGTTTACATGGTCCTATATCAGTTGCCAGTGCTCCTGACGCCTCCCCGATTTCGTCGCGATTCAAGCCACTGTGGAGTCGCGCTGCCCTCATAGCGTGTAGTACGTCGATTCCAGCGCTTCTTCTAGTTGGTCCAGTAGTTCCCTGTCGGTTACTTCGGACTCCATCCTTGACTCGGTTACGGTTTAATCTTTTCCTGCCCCGCCCTTTCGCAGTTCAGTCCACTTCGCCTTTTCTTAGATGTGCAAAAGAGCCAACCGTGTGAAAATGATGGGAGATGCTATACGCGCACGCAAGATAGGAGAATAAAACCGGTTGAACCATGCACTCTGTCAATTTCTGGCAGAGGTGCTTATCACTCCCAGCCCACCCATTGCGCCTCAGTGACACCTCATATGCATCATCGGAGGAAGAGGATTTGACCGCACTTGAGTGAAGTTTGTTCGCTTCCGCCCCGCATCCCCTCATCCAAGCACTCCAGAAGTTGAGTCCAACACTAATACTTAGTTCAATCAGTCTGGTATACCATTAGCTTCATATCCTTGCCCGACCCCGTCGCGATCCAGTCTGCCTAAGATTTGACATCAGACGAAGACGCGGAGTATAAAGGCTCACTTCCTCGTTCACATTTCCTTGTGCTATTTACATCCAGGCGCACACCCCGCTACACTCAGCTCTAAACTGCTCTACCAGCTTTGCAACCCATCCACAATCAACCAACCAACCCAACAAATATGTTCACCAACGTCCTCGCGTTCTCTCTTACGGCCTTGGCTCTCGTCGGCGCTGCGCCGTCCTTCCAGACGCCGATGTCTGTCTCGTGCAATGTCAATTTTGGGACGGTTAGTACACGAATTCGCCCCACCTCCTTCTGTTGAGCCACACAGGTCGCCGATGTCGGAGCGGCCAAATCATTCGGCGGAATTCCACCAGGCAGATACATAATCATCAACGCAGCGGCGGAGGGCGCCCTCCGCAGTTATAGACTGGGTGAACCTGTCTTCCGAACCCTCACTCGCGAGTTCCCGGGTGACTCTATATATGTGCGCGCTTTAAGAAGTGTCACAGCTGACTATACTAATCTCAAATGTTACTCTCAGTGGGACGTCAAACCCGCGAGCTCAAACTCGTACACAATATCGAACGTTGGACTTAGGGCACCGACTTACATCGACGGAGTATGTGATTTCCATCGAACGCATTATATTCACTAATTCGAGCGCTGCAAAACAGGACCGGATCCGTTGTGATCGCGTCGAGCCTGCGCAGTACAGCATATCGCCTGTTTTAGGGGACTTCGATGTGTTTACCGTACGTTGTCGACGTATTTCCGCTTAACCGATTCCCTTACATGCATCTTAAAGATCAAGACCGACGGCGACAAGGTGTGGGGAACTGACGGCAATTACGGGCGTGCAGAGGTGAGTTTAGAGTCCCCTTGTCTGAAATTATACTAATTATTTGGAAGGTCCATTTGCTTCCAGAGGTTAAAGGACGTGGGGAGATGTGGCGGTTCATCCCCCTTCGAGACTTTCAGACTGTTGAAGTTGATAATGGTGCATTCTGAATGCGCCTGACAACTGAAGTGTGTCCCGTTAAATACGTAGTCTCTCATAGATACACACACATCAACAAAAATCCTGTACCTCGCTTATTCAATGAAATACCGTGGAATAGTCGCCGAAGAGTTTTAAAATTCCGACAGATGTGTGGGTGAAGGTCATCTGGTCGTTTTCGCATGAGTCGCGAAAGATTAGAGCAGCGCCAACGTGCTCCGTTCACAAAGCATGGACTTGGTCACGTTGAGTTTCAAAGTTGAGGCACACGCTTCCTGACCATCTTCATTGGCACACCGAGGTATTTCCCGCTTCGAAAGGCCCGGATAGGGGATATCCCTCCATTGCGAACACAGGTATGTATTCCGCCTTCACTGGGAATGATAAGTACTAAGTACTTGTGCTGAATCTTCAGAAGTAAAGAATTCTCTATTTCTAAAATGTGAGGCGAAGGTAACCGGTCTTCGGTTTGAAGGTCAAATGCACTCGGAAATGGTCGCCGAAACGTCTGCGAGACAAAGGTCGATATTCAGACCACTGAGCTATCCCATTGTCTGAGTGTCTTACTTTTGCAGCAAGGATACCCCAGGAGAAAACGGAAGAGCAGCTAGTTTCGGTCAAAACTGAAGTTTTGAACCGTGAGAATTGATGAGACATCCGATGGTGGCAGTGCAACAAACCGTGTTAACAAGCCGTCAGTGTTACCAGCGAGTGTTCGAATTCCTTCCGCGCCGCACGACTTTTCCGTTGTGAAAATTCAACCACCCAGCGATGTCAAAGTGTAATGCATTCAAACTCAGGTAAACCGCGGTCCCTCGTAAACAGACGCTTCTGTGAACGACGACGAAGAGAAAATGCGAGCCCAGAAATCGACAGAAAAGTCCAAATATCGAAAAATCCCGACACAGGTGGAATCGAAGCATCGAATTGTATCGAATTAATATATTATGATGTCCGTGCCAGAAAAGCACATTCCGTGATTCTATCTTCAAGTACATACACATAAGAAAGTAGACATTTGACTTCACACAAGATTCAGTGGCTATATCGACATCGACGTTATCATGATATATTTACTTTTGTTTAGAATCAAGGCCTAGCTGCCATTTTTGTGCCGTTATACGGCTACGGGCCCGGGCCGGGAGGAACAGAAGTTCCGCGTCGGCGACGGCTTCCCGGGCCGTTCACCTCTCCTCTCAGTCTAGAGTCGCCCCTCTACAACTTCAAGCGACTGAGCTCGCACCCAACTCCCAGGAAGCAGAAAAGTCCGTAGGCCCACTACCAAAAGTGCGTGTTAGAGGCGTCCAGTTCGGGGTTGCTCATCCTCAGCATGACGACATTCGAAGTGAGGCTGGAAAACTGGACGGTGATGGTCAACACATTGCAGGGCTGGAAAATGAGAGCACCCACGCCGTTCCCGATGAATTTTTCCGCCCGTTGCGCGACGTGCATGTCTACGGCTTCCGCCACAAACTTCTGCTCCCAAGAAAGCTCCAAATCGCGACTTGTAGCAATCCCGTCTATCCAGTCATGCGCCGCGCTCAAGGTTCTCTTGAGGTCTGCAAGCCATGGTCGCGGTGCGTTGCTCATCACATACACGCGGGTAATATGGGGGTCGTTGACGGCGAGGACCTTTTGCGCGATTTCTGGGATGGATGGCAGGCAATGACTGCGCGTCATCTCCGAATCGCTGACCGAGTGCTTTTTTCCCGGCGGCGTGTACTTGTCTGGAAGCTCCGGGAAGCTGTTGAACCCACTGAAGGACATCCGATTTCGGTATGCGTCGTTGCACCAGGTTTCGTAGTCGCCCCGTCTGACATGGAGCACGAGGAGGCCATCCAGCAGTGAGGGTGCCTCTATCGTGTCCGGTGGCTCATCATATCTCGAAGGAGTCATAAAATATTCCAGGTTTCGATAGAACCCGTCGAGGACGAGAGACGACCAGCTGAAATGCTGGAGGATGGGCGAGTGCGATAGCGCTGGGAACACGTCGAGCACGCGTAGGGTGTTGGTTATTCTGGAGACCAACCTGGTAAGTCTTTTCCACCCGCCGACGAAGTGAAGGACTCACTCGTAACTGAACAACGCCGGGCTTCCCCTCGCGAGTTCTACACACGGAGACTCGATAGACTGCAGCTTTGTCACCCATCGTTGGATAATTTCGCTGACGGATGAGCCTGGGTCGAGAGTCTTTTGTATCTGGCGGGTGTCGAGGACGACTATCTCCGGTTTTGGGCAGATGCTGAAGAAATATTCCCGCGACACTGCGCGAGGAACATCCTTGTCGGGCATGAAGCCGCCGATGATG